AATCTCAATCGAAACTAACTAATAAAAACAAACTCGATCACAAAACACAACGGGCATCTTAGCCCTCATGTCCCAAGTCCCGGCTTCCTTTACATACTCTGAATAAATCGAGAAGTCGGGCTCTGTAGTCGCCTTCTTCTTGGGATGGACTTTGCTCGTCGTCTTCTTGAGTGTTACATCTTCTTCCTTGGGCCGGGCTTTATCGGGCCCGTGATGAGTGTTGCTTGTGTCTTTCATATTCTTGGAAAACCTTTTGGACGGGGCCAGCTTATGCAACAGAGCAGTGGTTGCAGCTTCAGTGTTTTCACGCGGACTTCCTCCTGTGATCAGAGCTTTAAACATTGTTTGATTGGAATTTGATTTAATTTGTTTTTGATTTTGCAGTGAAAGTTGTTTGTATTGTTGAGAAATGAGAATGGCTTAAATAGTTTTGTTTTGGGCATGTGTAAAATTAGGGATGATGACTAATAAAGAAATTCTAATTGGTTTTGGGCATGTGTGAAATTAGGGATAATGACTAATAAAGAAATTCTAATTGGTCTTTTGGGATAACTTAATTTGGGCTTGTTTTGAAACTTTTGTTGATTTTCTGCATGCTAAAGGAATCTTTTGGTCAATGTAGAAATTCTTCTCATTTGAACGTTGATTTATTCTCATTTGAATGTTGAATACGTTCTAGGTTCATGAACATGTACGTTTCATAGGTTGGCACTTCTTAAGAACCTTCCAAAAGTTATTTAATTATACACCGACCTAAATTATTAGTTGTATATAAATTAATATGTTGAAAATTGATCTATCTTTCGATTAACTGATGTAAATTTAATATCTATATATATAAAAGTTGTTGGCAAAGCAATAAATTTATTCTAATCTTCATTTAATAAAAATATTTCACATTTATTCCAGTGTAAAATTAAACTTTTTATTGCTCCTGCAAGTTGGTCCTGCAATATATTAGCAAATAATTATTCAACTTAATTTCTGAAAAAAAAAAATGGAAGACAAATATCATGAAACAATAAAAATGTAACCTTCAATTCAACATGCAATAATCCCCTACAATATGCGACATCCATATACATTTTCCCAACGTTAGCCCATATCTATATTCTGAATTATCTCTACTAAGTACAAATATTTTGCATCAATTAGTCCATTTCATCAGCTCACATCCATTAATCCACTTATTTAAATTTCTTAAAAATATCCTATTTTACATAAATAAATTTTTTCATATAATTTGGATAAGTACACAAAACTATTCCAATATACACACGGTTAATCTTCCCACATCCATAATCTTAATTTTTTAATTAAATAAAAATATTTTTCAATAACTAATCCCAAACATCATCACAATGTCTTTTTCTAATCTCGATCATAGTGAGACATCTACGAATAGACTGGTGATGGCTGAGTTAAATTACGATCGTCGTGCACTCGCTATTGAGAATCAAGAGATGGTCGCCAATATGACCGATGAGCAGCGGAATGTTTATAGCTCGATAATGATCTCGGTTTACCACAACCACGGGCGCATGATTTAAACCTAATGGAAGGCTCTACATGTGACGTTAGCCCGTAGAGTCCATTGGCCGAACTGATCATATGATTTCGTTTGATCATTTGGGATGAAGCCCCGATGATGAACAATATTGCTTCTAGGCAGTTGACAACACCTTGCGAGCCTTAATGGAAGCACTTGATCCATCAATAAAAATCTCCCATTTGGCAGCAAGTCTGTTGTGTTTGGTGGGGATTTCAAACAGATACTCCCCGTTGTCCCTAAAAACGGTCAAAGCAACAAAGTGAATACAACCATCAATTCATCCAAGTTGTGGCGCAATTGTATTGTTCTGAGCCTGACTTGAAATATGAGGCTTCGAAGCCTTCGTGGTGGTGATGAATACGACGAGTTGAGGCACTTCTCGGAGTGGCTTACAAGAATTGGCGACATGCAGTCGGTGGATCGAACGAAGGTTGTGCCGATATCGACATCCCTGGTGATATTCTTATACACTCACAAGGGAATCATATTGCTATTATTGTTGAGAGTACCGACCCAATGTTCAAGAGTTCAGGCGACGATCTTATGTATCTAAAGGACAGAGCCATACACGCTTCGACAATTGATTTCGTTGAGTCCAATAACAAGTACTTGAGCTTACTGAACTCATTCGAGGGAAAGACTTATTTGAGTTCGGACACTCCTTAAAAGTCAGACGTTGGATATGACTCTATTCAGGATCTTTATACTCATGAATTCTTTAGTGGGATTAAGTGCTCGAAACTTCTGAATCATAAATTGCACTTGAAGGTCGACACTCCAGTGATGTTGTTTAGAAACATTGACGACTCCATGGGGTTGTGCAACAGTACTGTTGATCAAAATTCGATCTACCATTTATATTTTCTTTAATTCGTGTACATATTCAATTGATAGGTTTTTGTTGTCTGGATTTTGAGGTCAACAGGTACTCGATTTGTTTTTACTAAGCTCAGCAGTCCTCAAATACAAAATTTTAACTGATGCCAGAGATGGTAATTAGGTTCTTACTCCTAGACCCACAACCGTACCATCCGATTTGAGGGTACCTTTCAAGTTTCAGCGCAGTTAGTTCCTTCTCATGGTTTCCTATGATATGAAAATCAATAAGAATTAAAGGCAATCTCTGTCGCACATCGGCTTACTACTGAAGAGCCTTGTATTTAGTCATGGGCAATTGTACGTGGCCTTTTTTAGAGTTGAAGATAATGGTTTATGGTGATGGAGATTGACAATAAAAAAACTACAGAAGTGTTTAACAATGTTTAATTTTTTTCTTAAAAATACTTATTTCCAATGATTATGTTATGATTTTTACTGTTGATTATATTTTTTATTAATTTTCTCTCTATCATATAGCATGGTTAATTTCAAGTTTTAGTGTTGCGATAAGTGCGCTATATTGAAGTTTTCGCAAAATCCACCAATTATCATGAACCCGTTCATATATCAATTGTCACTTTATAAAATGGGCTTATGATAATTTATGAACACATTGAGCACCCACAATACTTTAGGACTTAAAAAAAATATCATATGTCGTGTAGAAAATAAACTTAGTCTATAAAAAATATTTCTCAATGCAATTAAACGTGAACATGGTCTAATATGCGTGGCAAACGAAAAAATGAAACCAAGTCTACTCTTGAGTCTATTTTGAACCCAAGTACAAACTTGAACAGTCGACATTTATTCTTAACTAGTGAGTATCCCGTGTGATGTACGGCGGACTTATTTCTTAAAACCTTTTTTAAAACTTTATTTTAACAATATATTAGTTTCCTAACCATTTATATTAATAAATAATATTTTAAAATCTATATTTATTTTTTGATATAGACAAAATAATAATTTTACTTATTTTTGTTCATCATAATACTCAACTATTATGTTAATTAAATATATTGCCGTATAATATCATTATTATTATTATTATTATTATTAATAGGATGTGGTTCAAATGAGAACCAAGTCCTAGCGTGAGAACCGTGAGAACTGCTATTTTTAATTGTATGTAGTGCTATGATTAATTGTGTTTTAGTGCTATTTTTAACTAGGATGTATTTGATTAAAAATAGCAACAAAATTTTTATTAACATTTATGAAAATGATAGCACCATGTAATATTAAAAATAGCATCATACACAATTAAAAATAGCATCAAATGTGGTTCTCACGGTTCTCACACCAGACATAGTTTTTATTTGAACCAACCCCTATATACATATATATGATTTTATGACATAGTTAAATATGTTAAGCTAAAAACAAAATTAGTAATTAGCCCGTATTATCGGTGAATTTTGTGATAGAGGTTTTTCAACTAAAGTATTGAATTTTATGATAGATGATATTAACTCAAAATATTGTGTTTGATTTATTTCAAATCAATTAATCATTTATGATTTATGAGCATAATGGTTTTGGTAAAATCCTGGTGTAGGGTATAAATTAATTAATTGAATATATGTTGACATTATATTTTAAGTTAAATATATTGACACAATATTATGCTCCAAACAACATGTTTAATACAGCATTATGATTAAAATATTAAAAAAATCTTTTTACAATGTAAATATTGACTCATTGTTTATTTATATTCCAAAAAATGGGTCGAACACGTATATATATTTAATAAAATAATTATTATTTTATAAATAAATTACTGATACTGGTTCATTTTTGAAATATGCAATCAGTCATATACTTATTTAGCTTAGAATATAAACGTTGTATTTTGTTTGTGCAATTATATCATTGAAAATATTATTGAGATTTTATAAAATCTAATGATAGTCTAATAGATTATTCCCATAGTATTGATTTATACAAAGGACGATCCAACAGTTCGTTGAAATATCCTATCTAACATATATTATATAGTTTAGAATAAAAATGCCGCATTTTTTCTGTACAATTGTATAATTGAAAATCCTGTTGGAATTTTTAAAAATATGAATGACACTATAACATATTTTTTTTCATAGTAGTTATTTATACAAAGAGAAAAAAATGGTAGATGATTTTTATGAGCACTAAAATGGTATTTTTGAATCTACTAGAATAAATACTAAATCTAAATATTGTCACAATTTAGATTATAAAATTAAATTCGACTAATATTCGACAATATATTAAAGTTTGATGACTGATTTAATACTTTTGAAAATATATTATTTTTTTGAAGCCGTGTGTTTGTATATATTGAATTTAAATTTTCTGAAATAAATCGTGTGTTTGTTTAATTATGTTGTTATTGTAGGGAGATTGGATTCTTAAACTATATACAATCGTCAAGTTAATTTAAAGAATTCTATGGAGATCGAATTCTTAAACTATATATAATCCTCAAGTTAATTTAAAGAATTCTTAAAATATAGGATTCTTTCTAAGTAATAAAAAAATATATTTTTTAAGATATATATTTAATGCTACATTTCGGATATAAAACGTGTTTAGTTAATTATGTCCTTATATAAGGAGATTGGATTCTTAAACTATAAAGAATCCTCATATTTCAGGATTGTTTTTATATTATAAAATTTGAATGACAAATCTTTTACAAAATAGAATCCTCATATTTTATTTCAATTTCTTAGTTATAATGTATTTTACAGATTTTGAAGGTCATATCAAAGAACTACACGACCAGAAAACAATGACAGATTTGAAGCACTAATTATGTGAATTAATTTGGTTTATTTTTTATTTTTAAAAATATAAAAATATCTCTACAAATTCGATGATATTGTATGAAAAGTAGTATAGTTTAATTTTGGTTCATATTATT